GCTTATTGCTGTTGTTGGTAAATGTTTAATCTTGACTGTGAAGTTAATGTTGTTTCATAGAAATATGAAAAATAGTGGAACAGGACAAATTAAAGAGAAAGTTGTGGGGTTTTTTTTCCATAGTTATTAAGAAAGTGTCACTGTTGAAGTAAATAGTGACCTTAAAAAAAGGGTGATTATCCTCCTCATTTTTACAAGAAGTTATTATCAGGTGACTTCCTATGCACAGAAGTAGGATAGCGATTTCTTTCTGTACACACCTGGAGAATGAATAATTGCAAAGAACATTTTTAAACATGGTACTGATGATAACATTTTAATACCATGAAAGTTACGACTCTTGTGAAACTGAGTTTTATGAAGATGATTTCACTACGGTTACCTTTTGTTTATGAAAAACCTCCAGCTTCGACCACAAATTTTCTCAGAGATTGATCCTTCTAGCACACAAGCTGTCAGAGGTGCTAGCTAAGCTGCATGCAACTGAATTGTGTGTTTTTACATTTAGTTTTCTATGTTGTGTGTTTTCTGCAGTTACAGAAAACACCACTTCAAAAACTGAACTTGGAGCTAAACAGTTTTGAACTCATTAAAAGTAATTCTCAAAGTTTAGCAGAATGCAGCAATCTTTTAATTAGGAAACTAATTAACATTTGCTTCACTCGTCGGAAGAATGCATGGGTGATTCTTACAGACTTACAGAAACAATCAGATTGTTTTGGTGAATGAGAAATACAACTTTATGCACATTACACCAGAAGTTTAATATATGAAAGCCATAATTATCTGTATTAATGTGGTTTATATAAATTCTTTGCATATTTTATGTCCTTTGAAATTTATTACTATTATTTATATTTATGTCTTATAGTATGAAGTATTTGTTGACATTTCATGAACTTGTGGACTGAAACATAGTAACAGCTGATTGATTTAACCTTGATATGTCACTGTAGCCAGTAAAGGTGGCAGATGTTAGTTAATGCATGCTTGATCAGATTTATGAGGTGAAAAGTTGATCTTTGAGCGCTTGAGAGCATTGGCTTTTTTAGCCCTCGAGGGATGTGATGGATTTGAGTAATGAAGGTTTCCACTGGTCAGGAGCTCATTCTGTGCAAGAGAAGTAATCTTGATCTCTACCTAATTCTAACTAATAGTGATAAATTGAAAGAGAGTAGCTGTAGTGGAAATGCTGTTCAGTGACGCTTCCTGATCTCCAGGGTGAAACCGATCTTCCTGGCCAAAATTTGAGTATAATAAACCATCAGTGACAGCCTGTGCTGTTTGAATATCATGTTTTTTTAGGGGAACTCAGGCTCTCTTCTGAATTAACTCATATTCGGGAGTCTTAAGTTTAGCATGGGTGTGGGCAGTTGTCTCAGCAATACATTATTACCAAATAGCTGACCTTTGAGGGGTATTTCTAGGTAGAGCAAACAAGTAGACTTCTTGGTGGTCTCCTTATTTCTGTATTTTGAATGAAGGGATATTAAAGAGTTAGAATTTCGTAGTCACCACCATGGAAAAAGTTATAATGCAATGACAAATGGTAAGTAATGACTGGGGAGGGATTATTCTGCCTTCAGTTAAAAGCTGAAGATCTAGATCTCTTAATAGTATTTTCAATAGAGAATTTCTGGAAAGTGATTATAAATTCATCCTTTCCCTCTCAGTTGTTAGGACTTGGGAACTCTTAGTCACTATCATCTTGCTGCCTTATCAGCTGATATGGAACGTTACAAATAATTTTTCTCTTTATAACCTTTACATGTAGGAATATGTGGGTCTTGCAGGATAAAGGGTCTCCAGTAACCAATATTTTCTGAACTTTACTATTTGCTCTTTTCTGGACCATGTCGAAATTGACAGCAATATCTTTGATATATTCATCCAGGACAACCTTTATCACTATCACGGATAACATTGGAGTAGAGTATTATATATTATACAGTACAGGTGATACTCACATTAACGCATGGCAGTATGAGACTTGCAGGTTTTGAAAATCAGTAACATTTTTTTACTTAATTCAGCTTGTGATCCACTATCACTACTGATCTTTCTCTGTTGACTCACTGCTTACCTGGTTATTCTCTGTCTTGCATTTGTATGTTTGAATTCTCCTAAGTATACCACCACACACTTTCCTTTACCGAAATCTATCGTGTGGATTTTTAGATCATATCTTCAATTTGTGAAAATAATGTTGTATGCTAATCTTGTTACCAAGATCTTCTGCTTTCTTAGTTCAGTATTCTCAGACTTTTTTGAAAATCACCTTACTTTCCTCATTCCTATTTAGTGAAAGTGTTAACTAGAAGCAGAAGGGATTTGAACAAATGGCATCCATGTCAGACTCAGGTGGCACCCCACTGGAAATGCTCTCGGTGAGCTATTGACTCAGCCTCTGAGAACAGATTAGTTTTGGCTGTTGGACACATAACATACAGATAAAGCATGTCTGTATAGTTTCCTTTTGAGAATGTGTGGTGGGACTTACCAAGCACTAAAGGAAAGGCGTGGTGAAAGGGAAGCAGTATATTCTGGTCTCAAGTGACCCTGTCAAGGAAGGTTTCTTAAGAACAGATACAAATTTTTTTTTTTCACAGCTTCAAATTCACTTTGGATTTAGGCTGTAAAGATTTTCTGTTCAGCATATTTATCCTGATAAGCCTGGGGCATTATTAGCAGTGTAATGTTTCAAAAGTCTGCAAACACAAGGAGCTACATTTCTGTGCTGGCAGATCTTATTTTTCCCCAATGTTTTATTATGTGGATGGCAAAAAGGAATTCAGAGGACTCCTTCCACTGTCTCCAAGGATTACTGTGTTAAGCCTCTTTCTCTAGCCTTTTCTAAACTTGTGCAGCTCAAAGCAAACATATGCTAATAAATACAGTAATATCTTCTTCTCCTGTGGTTTACTGCATACAGGGAAAGTGGGTTGGACTGTTTTAGGTATTTATTGAATAGCCACCAGGATTTTCTATGGTAGTGTAGTTTAGAAACTATTTGATTGGTATCAATATTAGAATTTTGACAAGTACCTTGTTTTATTTTGTTCCAGCAACCCAAAGAGCTACTCATTCCTCTCTCTCTTTCTTAGGGACCTTTTGTGTGCAAGTAGATCATGTGAGTCCTAATAGGTCACAGTGAATAAATAGCTCAGCTGAAATCACTATGCTCAGAGTATAACAAAGGCTTTTTTCTGCTGGGCACAATGGAGCCAACAAGGAACAGTAGGAGGGTGATGCTAAATGCTATCTCTGTGAATTTTATGAAATCCTAATGTGGAGAGGCCTGCCAGGGAGACTTGACAGCTGCACTAGGTATGTCTGTCCTTGTTAGTCTCCCCAAAAGAGCATAATGATCACCTTGTTGGCTGATGTTTTTGCCATCCATGTAAAGTATGTTTACAGAGACAAATAGTATGTTAGTATTCAAGATCCAGTACACCTCTTAGACTATAAATGCACTGTACTGCTCTCTTTACTCAGTGTCTCCCTTTCCAAGGAGACTTTCAAAGAGGACTCTGTCATCACAAAGTAAATTATTTTACAGGGTGAAGATTTTAACTTGCATCATTCCAAGTCCTCAAGCTTCTTTTGGAGTATGCTTCCTACCAAAATGTGGGGTTTTTTTGGTGGCAGTACTGAAGCCTCTGTTGTAAAAACATTGTGGTTTTTTTAGAAAATATTTTTCTACAGTTTTTGGAACTTCAGCTTTTCTCAAATTAAAAATATGCTGCTTGTATTGTTTAATTACGTAGGCCTTTCACTAGGTACGTTTATTTCATCCAGGCCATTTCATTTGTGAAGCAGTAACTGTATTGGATGACAGTAGCTGATGGGTATCGCTTCACCTGCTCTCTCTCTCTCAGTTGTTGTCAACCATGGGCAAATTATACATATTTTAATTGCAGTTTATTTGTTTCAGAAGTTGTTTGGAGGCTGCATGGAATTGTCCACAGGATAAATCCAGCCCATAAGAGTGCTTTGCCGTAGACCTCAGACTCTGTGAATCACTGGAAACCTTGCTGAAGAAATTAGTATGGAGACCAAACAAGTTTTTGTTGCAGCCTTACGAAATAGCTTAGAATTTGGAGAAATTTGTTCCCTGTTCCTTACAAGTAGCTGATGGATGGAGGAGAGAGGGAGAAGGTGAAATGGAGGAAGGAAAATAAATATATGTTTTCCTGTTCAGACAAGAAACAGGAGGAGGAAAGAGACTCCTTTGTCAGTGTGCAGACAAGAGGAAAGGAGGAGCTGAGGGAAAGCAAGTTCATGAGAAGGAAGTTACTGGTTCTAAGTGTCAGTTCTGTCATAGGGCTCTTGGGTATCTACTGGCCTCTTGCAATTTCAGCATTCTTTTGTGGTTCTGTGCTCTCAGCCGTGCAAAATGCATTGCAGGGTTACATTTGCTTTCCGTGGGTTTCTGCTGCACGCTATGAAATTTAAAATAACAGCAGAGTTTTGTGCAGTCTCTGGAATTCTACTTAATGGCAGAATTTGTTACTTTTGAAAAACAAGGCCATTTTATAAATACATACTCTACAAATATGACTATTTGCCATGTTGTTTAAAAAATAAATTAAAAGCATAAATGATGTTGGTGTATTGTATTATGTAATAGGCCTGCAGCTGACGTGTGGGAATTAGTTTTCTGATCTCTTAAACGTATCAGAATGGAATGTAAGGGTACCTTCCTTCTATTTATAAGATAAGATGTCTGTCAGTACTCGTTACCTTAAGATAAGTCAGGAGATGCTTAGTGGAAGACAAGATTGTGTGTTAAAGCTAATTACTGTCCAGTGTAATGGAGCTGCAGGTGTCCTTAGTGAACGGAGTCTCTGGTTCCCTGACTAACCAGTCACAACAGAAAGTGATCTCCGTCAGTCTCGCGTTTCTGCGTCAGAAGTATCATCCTTGAAAAAAGACGGAAATAATGAATTTGAGTTAGTGTGGTGCTTGTGAATCCTGGGAAGTGAAAGAAGTGACGCAATATGGAGGAGCTGTGTAGCATTAAGTTTACCTTTTCTGACCTGCCAGTTCTTTGTCCTCCTGTGTCCAGAGAACTGCCTGGAGAGGGCGACAGGGTAGTTCTGCAGCGGCGACATCTTGAACCTTGTAGACAGGGCTTACTAAACAGCTCAGAGAAGAGGTATTTTTTAAACATAGGTTTGCTGCGTACTTGAGAAGTTCCATAAGTGATTATCCACCACCTTAGCTGGACAGTCTATCTTTTGATTATTATTAATTGTTACTGTAGCGCTGGTGGTCCAAGGATATGAGAGGCAAGGTATATGGGGAGAAGTGATTTATTTTATTGAGCCAAATGATGGAGATATTTAGAAAAAGCATAAGAGGTTTTGACGTACAGCCATCATCCTGTACTCTTTGTGACAGAGGCTTGGTGTGATAAAAATCTTGACAATATTTCTCCCTGTTCCTCCCTGCAAATTTTATTAGTTTGGTTAGCAAAGGCGCTCTCCCTAAAAATCTCTTCTTTTAATTTACTTTATCATTGGATATGTCTGTATGTCATGATACGGTGCTGTGCAAAGCCTTTCTGTACCCATAGTTGTTCTGAATTGTAGGATGTCTTTCCATGCGTGAAGTTTTGATACTGTCTGGTCAAGGGGCTATCAGTATTTCAATTAAATTTTTTCCCTTTGTATTTTTTATTGACATGTAGAAATCCTTTGGAGTTTTGATTTTTGACAGTCTGATTCTGTTCTGATCTGATTCTGTTCAAATAGGTGGGACTTTTGCTTTTGAATTCTTTGGCAACACGATTAGGATCTAAGTGCAATTTGCAATCATACCATAAAGCTGAAAGTTCATTTTTTGTAATTTTCTCGCATTGTTTCTTAAACACTTCCTTAAGGCTTTTTTAATATATGAATTGTCTTATTCTGGAGACTCCTACAGATGCTTCCTCAGCTGCGTAGAGGGTAACTGGTTTTTAGTTTTGGTACTCTCATCTCTTAATCTGAAACCTATTTTAAAAAAATAAAAGGTTTGTAGAATGTATTTATCCAGGAAATGAGGTGGTTAAATGTGTTTTGAAATATATGCATTCTAAGTATGTCACTGTCATACTGACTTTACAAAATAGCTAGATATACATTATTATTTGTGTAGCTAAATATGTAGTTATATTTGCCTGATATTCCCACAGTTTTGTCATGTGTTTCATAGGCGTTGAAATTTAGACTTGTGGAGTTTTTTGTTGTTTTTGTTTTGGTTTTGTTTTTTTTTTTTTTTTTAACGGCTAAACTGGGATATAGACTTGTAATAAATAGTCACAATGCAGACTAAAGGTTTATAAATAAGGGGGAGAGAATAAATTCTCATCTCTTAAAAGGCCCCTTCTTTCAGTGTTTAAAAAGAATCCTTATTTTGAGATTGCGTCTAACTTTCACCGCGAGAACACACTCCCTTATCTTTTTTTTTTTTTTTTTTTTACTTTTGTTACCTGTTAATTTACAACCTTAGAGCCTTAGTTATAGCCCTTATGAAAGCATAGGGACAAAGATGTCAGAACAAAACTGAACTACAGGTTTTACTATAATGAGGCAGCTCATAAATAAAGAATGCACATTTTTTGTAGATAGGAATGTATATATTTTAGATATCTTGCTCTGGCAATTATCAATATAGTTTCTGATTATCTAATAAACGACAATGAAAACATCTGCATCTCACTTCTACTGAGGATAGTAAAACATGATTCTTTCTTTTTACAGGTAGGATAGTTAGTTAAGTCTAACTTGGCAAGATTGTTTCCTACTTGGGCCTAGAGCTCAGGGGTTTTTTTGTGTCCTAATTTACAATAATTGGAAAGACACTTTTTAAGTTTAGGGTTTAATCTCAGTATCTCAGAGTAAGGAATTCTGAAAAATAATATCTGTATTTTTGGTTTTTAGGGTACCCTTGAAAGTGGAACAAGCAAACAATGCTCGTGATGCCTTGGCTAAAACGGTGTATAGTCATCTGTTTGACCATGTAGTGAACAGGGTAAACCAGTGTTTTCCATTTGAGACTTCTTCTTTCTTCATTGGAGTTCTGGACATAGCTGGTTTTGGTAAGTATACTTAAAAGAAAAAAATATGAATTTCCCAGTTATCTGTTATTGCCACCAAAGATTCAATGATGAGTTCGAGTAATGGAGAGTGGGAGAGTTTTCTCTTTGGTTCCAGTGGTTACAAGGGTTTAAGAAGGTATCAAGAGAGCAGATAAAGCCTCATTTTCCTGGAGGAGATCTAGATCTTCTCCTGATGACCTAGTAAGACTGACAAGCGTTAGTGTGAAACTAAGCATCTTTGTAATGGTTTCAGATTCCTGTAGTGTCTACGTAGACACAGCTTTTGAAGGACTAAAACTTTGGAATGTGGCCCACCCAGTAAAATTAGGAAAGATACTGCGTGTGCATACTGTTTTCCCGTTCAGTCCTGAGAAGATCACTGCATGCTGACAGACAGGCCGATGAAGTCTCTGAATTAAGATACTGTTTCCTGGAGGATGGATAGTTCTGTTACAGAGTTGGACTTTGGGCGCCTGGTGGCTCCCAGGAAGCGATGGGCATTGATGGTTCCCATAAAGCTTTTGTCCTGTTTGGCTCACTGGGATTCAGAGTCAGGCGTGTTTTCTGGTGTGCTCTAGCCCTGCTGAGGTGTCCAAGAACAGTGAAAAAGGGAACCATTGGTTTTCAGTTCTTTAGAGCTATGATATGCTGTGCCAGCGTGTTGTGACATGGATGAACGAGGATTTATTGGTACACGTATGGTAGCATCTTGCTTTGGTTTGCTGCCAGATATAACTGTTATTTGTCTTAGAAATATGATCTGCCACAGTATTTTTATATCTGTCTTACATGAAACTTGAAAATCTGTAAAAACTTTTGTTTGACTGAAAGAAACAGATATGGATCTGAACACACTTTAAATATTAGCACTGTGAAGCTCCTCTTATTTACTATGTAACATAAATTCTTGGAACACTGATTTATCATAGAAGTTTAACTGCTGTTTTTCAGAATACTTCGAACACAACAGTTTTGAACAATTCTGTATTAACTACTGTAATGAAAAACTGCAGCAGTTTTTTAATGAAAGGATTCTGAAAGAGGTATGTTATATTTAATGCTATATTCGAGGATTTATTTTTTTCGTAAAGAGACACTTGAAGTGGCACTGCTTTCCACAAGATTGTAAATTATGCTTGGATTAAAAAAGATTCATTTGACAGACTGGTTTCCTACTGTGTGACATCTGGTTGTGCCAGAAAAGAATATGGCTTTTTGAAAACCAACAATCTTTTTTTCTTCTTCTTTTTTACCATTCATTAAAATGAGGCATCCAGATAATGGGCTGTATCTCATACCTAATGGGAATCTCTAATTGCATAGGCTTCTCATTAAGGAGTTGAAGCTGGAATATATTAAGGTATATTAAGCTGTGGAAGGACATTTTAAAATATGTGTTGATTCGTGCTGTATTTAAAAAATGTCTTCATGTTTATTTTAAAAAAATGTTTTTGGTGGGTAAAAAAGTATGTGGTGAGTGGCATTTTCTCTTTTCAATTACTCTTTTTTTTTTTTTTTTTTTCTTTTAGGAACAAGAACTTTACCAAAAAGAAGGCCTGGGGGTTAATGAAGTGCGCTATGTAGATAATCAGGACTGTATAGGTATGTACTTCTTGAAATGTCAAGCTATTCATTAGTGTCACAGAGAAAACAAGCTTCAAGCAGAAGAGGCAAAATATGCATAGCAGTAGTAATTTTATGCTTTTAATGACTGTTACAACCTTGTGAATTCTTCCAACTTTGTATAACATTCCGGTTCTGATTGGTAATAAAGCCATGTTGTCCTACAGTGTGTGATAACTGCAGCTGAGACTTGTGAATTTCTTGTGAGTTTTGCTAGAAAACTAATTAGAACACCTAAATAGGGTAAATAAAGTGAAGAAGGGTGTGAGGGTGTCTGGGGAAAAATATTCCATGAATCAAAAAAAAATCCCGTCCCATTCCGCCTCTTTTTTTGAGCCAGTGAGCAAAGAAACAAAATGAACTATAAGCAGCAGGTTGTAGATGTTACTGCTGCTTTTAGATTTCCACAGACTGATATACCAGAGGCTTAAGATGGTGCTGGTGATGCTGCTTTTTTTTTTTACTCTGCGTTCAACTTGTGTTCCCCACATTGGTGTATTGTGAACAAAAGTTCATCTTGCTTTTGCGTTTACAGTAATTTGCTTATGGTAACCAGTCAGTCCTGGCTGAGCAGAGGATTCAGAGTGACGGAATTCAACATCTGTTGCAAAATGTCTGATTCTGAGTTTCTGTAGCTCTGCTGAAGAGGTTTTCACTTTGTCACATAGGACTGTGCAGTCACTAACTCTGACTTAACTAAAGACAGCTCTTGTCAAGCAAACCTCTGGCCACCTTGTGAAAAAGCAACAGGAAGGTATTTGGAGGAGGGAACAAAAGCATAGCAACAGGAAATAAGTGATTTCTATGAATACAAATCTTGTCTCTTCTAGCGGTTTAAGAATGTGTATATGAGCCTGCGCCTGTTCCCAAAAATGTTGTTATAGTTTAGAGACTGTCACATTTCTGTAAAAAGGGTTGCTTCCTCCCCAGTACATACTGCCTTTTTTTTTTTTTTTTTTTTTTAAATATCTCAAGGGCAAGAGTGTCTGATGCCTATTGGAAGAAAAGGTCTCTGTCTGACTCATAGTGGGAAAATAGGTCAGATTGTAGAGATTGTTGCCAAGTTGTTGCCTTTTCCTGCCACAGAAAAGGTTTGGGCAGCTTACCTAAGAATACAAGTAGTGGTCCCTCAGTCATGACCTCTTTTACTATTGCAACCAACATACGGCACCCCACCACAGATTTGATGCATATTGTATGAGTTATTCTTACATAAGCTAATAAATTATAGCTTAGTTAAACCACAGCATGTATGCCTTTTTTCTGTTCTTGTATAGTCAGGAGAAAAGGATTTTCTACCACTTTTTGAAGTGAGTGAGAAAAATAATGTTGGTTTCTGTCAAAATAAGATTTTTGTTTAAGGTATTGGACCAGGCCGGTGACAGCAGTGAACATGTAGAAATATTAACTGTCACAAAAGAGAAAGATATTATAATGACATGGACAATTTTTTAACACAATGGAAGAATCTTAGAAGCAGTCACTAGTTTGTTAGAATGTTTTGATGGAGTGGTAGTCATCTCTGTAGCTAAATCAGCTTATTCTTTGCATCGGAGCTGTCTTTGTGCTTTATATGTAACGTCATACTGTTTACAATCTGTGGTAAGGCTTCATAGGCATTGCTGCAGTACAAGCATTAGTAATTTCTTCGTTGCCACAGGAAAAAAGTAGGTAGTACTTACAAGAACAGTTTTGTAGATAATGCAAAAAAGTTCTAAAAGCTGCAAAGTTCTTGTGTCTAATAATTTCAAAAGCGTGCATTTCTATGTCAGATTTCAAGGGCTTTTCTATATGTGTGTGAAAAGTGAAGGCAATACACATGTAAAAAGTTGTGAAACCACCACTGTATACTCAAGTCTGATCTGTCTGTCTTAACACAAATGCATTTCATTTTGCTCCCTGGTTCCTGTTGTGAATGGAAGTATGTGCCTTTTCATGCTTTTAGTTTTGACATGTGGTGAAACATGGCTGAAAAGCTTAAACCCACCCCCAACAATATAAGCAATTATCCCATAAAGACCTATGGTCATACCACAGAAACATTTAGGTACCTTTTGGGAATTAGATGACTAAATTCACCTTGAGACCCAGAATAAAAATCAAACAATCAGTGCCTAATCTTTTTTTCCCCCTTGTTCCTTGTGTTAGAAGTAGAACTTAGTATGTATAGAATATCAATTAAATCAGCAATTCAGATATGTAGAATTAATTTGCAATGACTTTTTGGATTTTATGTTATTTGCAATGACTTTTTGGATTTTATGTTGTCAGTTTTCCCTAGATAATCTTATACAGAATTGGATCAGTAGGACTTTAAACTTATGTTCAGTTCTGATATGGGTTTATATATTCAATTTTTGTAAATATATTTTGTTTTATTGATAGATTTGATTGAAGCAAAATTAATAGGTGTACTGGATATTTTGGATGAAGAAAACCGTCTTCCCCAACCAAGCGACCAGCATTTTACTTCGGTTGTGCACCAAAAACACAAGGACCATTTCAGGCTCTCTGTAGGTTTATTTTTGCTGTCTGTCTTGTTTTAATAAAACAATTCTTGAAACAGTTGATAGTAACACTTCAATTTAATGAAAACCTTTCCTAAGAAATCTCATACCAGACCAGTCTGCACAATCCATATTCTTTTGTTAAAGACAAGTTTGGTTATTAGGTTTGTTGAAAAGTTCACTGAAGGCTTAAGTCTTCTAGCAATTCTA